TTAACAGCATTTTAAATTAACTCACCCAAAAAAATAACGTCTTATGACTTAAAATACAGCTATGCCACAATATGTAAATATAGTTGGTAATCTCTATGGTGAACCAAGAATGAAAAGCTACAAATAACAGAAAGATATTCTAATAATTTTACACTAAATTTGTCCTTCATATAAAATCATCTTTAATAGGCTTCTCCTGTCTAATATAAAAATGGAAAGTATTAATTAGCATGAGTGGAATTTGAGACGCTGGTCTATCCTACAACTTAAACAAGTATCCACAACCTACTATTTAATTCTGAAACCTTTTTAAAATAAGAGGATTACCAGAAAATGCCCTTAATTTTAAGAACACAGTAAAAATAAATTAAAATTGTGAACAAAGTAAATTTGACAAATTATTTTAATGTTTATTTTTCCTAGAAAAATTTCTTATAGACATCATCCCCTTTTGTAGCTCAAAAAAATGGAAGATTAATATGGCCACCTAGAGGAGAAAACATGATCAACAAATAAGCCATCACATTCTCTTACCTTTTATAGAATATCTGTATTTCAGATTTGTAACATATAAACTGTTCTAAAGGACCCAACTGAATGGGTTAATCATGCAGGAAATAGACTTGGGGAGAATACGAAAGTGGCAGTGACGACCTAACCAAAGCTAAAACAACCTTTATTATGCAGTGGACTTGACAAATACAGTTTTTATAACTTACTGTGCGACTTCAGGTTAAAAATTAGTTATTCGATCTAAAATCTCTTTCTACTTCTGTAAAACAGTATAATCTTACCTACTACAGTGCGTTTCAGTGAAGATTAAATATGTCGATGTGTGCAGAAACTAACAGTCAAGTACAGTAGGAGCTCTGCAAGTTCTTACCACCTGGTCACAAAGTTCTCCTGCACTGGTCTCTCCTAATCCCTAGTCAGGCCCTCCTTGACCCTCTGCTCTCACAGATGTTTCTAATATTGGCTGTTCCAAAGCTTCTCTACTGGAATTATCCAGAGTGTTGAGAAATGGACTAATGGTTCCTTATAAGCACTAATGAGGTAACAGCATGTCATGTAAAAAAGTGAACATTTAAAAATGTTTCCCTCTACCTTGTAATTCCTTTAGTTACCTCAACCCACATTAGTCAAATCTCATCTTTATAAATTTGCAGAATAATATGCAGAATAAAAGGTCAGAGTTGTAAAAAGAAGCATAATCTACTCTATTCATCCCTTTACTTGTACCTTAGGAAAACGAACCAAATTCTACCAAGAGAACTGTACTCAGTAGTCCTCTTAGGTGACCAGCTATGAACTGAGCAGTATTTCTGCTGAGTCAGCTATGCAGAGGCACAACCATGTGGTGGAGACTCAAATGTGTATTAGAAGCAAATGCCCCTCCTTCCTGATTATATACCAGAGAAGGCTTCACTATTGTTGAGTTGGAGGGAGAAGGTGAACTCTTGGCTTACAAACCCCTTCAACTACCTCTGTCTTGACTCTGAGAGTTGATAAGGAGAGAGTAAGCAGTAAGAAAGTATAGGCAGCAAATGTACACTTTCTTATCACTTATTCTTTCCTCAATAACATTCAATCTAACATTATTCTATACTACTAAAACTTAAATTGCAAGTAATTGATCAACTTCTATTGGACAAAGGGGCTTGTTTGAATTCTCATCCTTCCCAATCTCTCTGCAGCATTCAAAACTCTCCTTCCATGGTTGATAAAATACAATACATATTCTTATGATTCTCCACTTTATCACTTTTACTTTCTCTTTACACCCTTAATTCTCCTGTTCAAGAAATGAAATATTTCTCTTATCTTTTCTCTCTATACATTCTCCCTCGTCAATTTAATCCATGCCCATGGTTTCTATCTCTAAGGATATATGATCTGAAAACCTCTCTCCCTAATCCCATTCATGATTTCAAGATCCATAGCCATTTCCCACTGCTTAAATATCCTGCTTCATCGCATATATAAAACCACTTTTGTCTCCCACCTTTCACTACTTCCAACAAAAAAATAGATCCCTCTCTGGATTTCCTATTTACATGAATGACCTCAGCATTCTCCTAGCTACACATGCTGGAAACCAGTGTCATCTTTGACACTTTCTTCCTTTTTTCCAGTGTTCCAAATACACTCAGTTCCTAAATCCAATAAACTGCATCTCTCTAATATCTCTCCTACCCTCCTACATGCCCACTGCCACTACTGTAATTCAGATTTTTACCATTTCCCACAGACTACTCCAAAGACCTCCTTAACTGGTGTCTTTTCCTATAGTCTTTCTGTTACTAAACTAATCTTTCTAAAGCACATTCCCAATCACGGTTCCTTGGCGAAAAACTTTTAGTGAGTTCTTAGTGGCTAACAAATTAAATCCAGACTTCTTATTCAGGGAGGCACTGTGGGCTTCAGATCTCATCTCTCTCTCCATTTTATTTCCTACCCCTATACATCCTATAGTCATTTACCAACACAGACTGAGACCATCCCTACATCTACCAATTCTTTGTCCCTAAATTCACTGCTAATGAGGATCTCATCATTGTTTATCTAACTCGTCCTTTCTGCCTCCAGTAGCTCCTACCTCCAATTCATCTCTGTTACAATAGTTAAATAATCTTTCTTAAACATATTGACCTGAAAGTGCCACAGTGTCCAACTGAAAAACCTTTCAGGGATCTACATTTCCTGTAGACAGCATCCAAACTCCTATGCCTGGCATTCAATCCTATTACCTGCCCCTTCTCCAAACACAGATCCTAAGGTAAGGACACTGAAATACACTCTTGGGCTTTCATGCAATCACCACTTCATGGTTGTTGAACTAGTTCTCACTCAAGTCCAGTTCACCTAGTCTGTGAGGACTTCACTAGACTTCCCCATATCCTCAACCTCCCAAACAAAGTCTGAGTCACCTCTCCCTCTGTATTAATATAGAACTTTGTTCACGTAACTAACAGACCTCTTATCCCATTATATTACACATATACTCACTGGACTTCCTCTTCCAGTCTGTGGGCTCTTTGAAAGAAGTTTGTTTTATTCATCTTTATATCCACAATATCTAGTATGGCACATAAAAGGCTTTCAATAAATGCTTATGAAAGAAATAAATCTAACTTCAAAATGCTTAAAATCAATCTACCCTGCATGTTTTATCAATAATTTAGAGTAGAAAAGGTGGAAAAGTACAGGTGGGTCCTAAATATATAGGTAAAATGAAATGAGAAGGTGATTCCAGGGCACTTGTACCAGTCAGAGGTTTGGGCTAGAAGAGAAGAGCCGCTGAGGTTATGCTTCTCTCCTCAGCGCTGCTCCCACAGACTATAGAGCCATGCTAGAATAACAGGACTACAGGGAAGAAGCAATCAAGACAGCAGAGGAGCGTAGAGAGTGGGAGGAAGAAAGAGGGAGCAGGGAAAAACAAAGTCCTAAACAGAAGCTGCAAAAAGGAAAGTGTCTAGGGTTGCAGATTATAAACTCAGGGCCTGCTCATGACTGCTTACTATCACCACCATCACCGTTTTCACTACCCTTACCTACAACTCCCATTTATCAATCACTTATCTATCAGGTGCAGACACTATGCTAAAAACTACCACATACATCATTTAATGTTCATATGACAACCCTATCAGGAAGGCATTATCCACATTTTAGAGACAATGAAACAAACTTCAAAATAATGAACTATACTGCCCAAGGTTGAGCCAGAATGTGAACAAGAATCAGGCTTCAAAACCCATTCTCTTTCTGCTCTACTATTCACGTGCTGGTGCTGTAGATAAGTTGGGGACTGCCTTTAATGCTCTGCATTGTTTAGTTATCTTTGTAAGCACATGTCTTATTTCCTCTAGTTCTAGAAAGGTATTTTTGAGGGTACAGCCCACGTCTAATATTTTTTATTTCTTCCCCAATATCTCACAATGAGCCTTCTACAGTAATCACTTAGTATTCGATTAACTTATGATACCTATGTACTAGCAAAAATAAAAAGGGAGGTACATCAATCTTCACTTAGCCTTAAGCCAAATACAAAATAGATGATTTAGCTCCTTTGACAACTGTATGTGCTGGGATAAGACTTTAAGTCATCAACAGTAACAGGCCCAAAACACCACAACTATAAAATTAAAGATAGTTCGTGTTTGGTATAACAAGAAAAATGCTATCTAAAATATATGCTCTTTTCTTTACATCTGGGTATAAAGATCATAATTACTAGGAGCAGTCCATACGTTGTATCAAGCACATGAACAACTTACTTAAATGTGGAAATAAATATGCTTTAATTAATGGCAAAATATTTTTTATTTCTCTTATGGAACGATGTAAAAACATGTGAGAGTGGAATTTTATCTTCTACATAGGCTGAGTTCTAAAGCCAATGTCAGCACATGAGGCAAAAAGCAAAAAAAGCAATTAGAGACAAAATAATCCTTAGAAATTTCTTGAATAGCCTTCAAAGCACAGTATAAACTAGCACCAGCTCTCAATACATTTATCTCAGATGGTTTTTTCTCCCACATAGGACAGATCACCATTTCTTCTGTGTGTAACATGAAATATTTGGCTCATGTTTAGGGGCCATATTGAATGAAAAAGAATGCATTTATACACTGGAATCATATTCAACATTATGAGATACTTTAGACTGTATCAGTTCCTATAACAGATATTTAGGAAATGATTCCATCTGAGAGAACAGCAGATTCACATCTTCCATCTCAAACTTGTTAGGCATGTATTCATTGTGCAAAAACAGCTAGAATTACTATTGTATTTAAATTATTTGGTGTTTTGCTTTTGGGTGTTTGGGGTTTTGGCTAAAGTTCAAAGATCTAAATTTGAATAAATTATATTTCCAGAAATGTGACTCTACTGTATGTGCTATGTTTATTGTGCAAAGAGATGCCTAGAAGTTCAGACACAAATAATCTAATACCACAGTGTGTCATCTAGAAAAACAAAATAATTAACTATCTTACCTTCATCTATTGATGCTTCACTACTGTATCCATCATACTCTGCAGATAGAGGACTATATTTTTGTCTTGTTTCCCAAGTATAGTTCTTTTGTCTAGAATCTGCCACGGGTAGTCTGGAATTGTGTGTTCTGGATAAGGCCTCATGATATTTACCCAGTGCTTCATCTTCACTTTCAGAGGATGAACAATGCTCATCTTTGTCCATGTAGGAATTATCTATTTGGAATAAGGAGAAGAAATTAAAATTTTAATGCAATAAAGAATGATGAACTTGCTACAATTTTTATACATTACATATACATATTATATATAATACATATGATTTCATATATATCCATATACATACAAACACACATATGTATAAACATATATGTATACACACACAACCTGAACTTTGAGCTTTAGAGAATTAGGATTTTTTCATTTAAGAAGCCCAAGACTTAGATTTTTATGTTTTAATAGAAAAAGATTGGTTTGTATATTCTAATTATACAAATAATGTTAGTCACAGGGATTTTCCAACCATGTTACAGATAAAGGAAATACTAATAGGGCTCGTCATCTTACACTATTTTTTTAAAGGCTCAGTAACACACAAAAGAAATTTTAAGGACTGCCAGTAACTATGGACCTGATTCAAACAATTCACGTCAGAAGAGACATTTTTGCTTATCATCCTGGCCAAAATTTTCAAAACTGACAATGCTTAGTGCTAGGAGTGGAACAGAGAAATGAGCAGACATACTATCGGTGAAATTATTACTGGTACAACTTTTCTAGAGAGCAATTCGGCAATACATATCAAACTTTTAAGCCTGCATAGTGTTTAATCCATTTCTAAGAATTTACCAATTCTAAGAATTCATCCTAAGAAAATAATTAACAGGTAAGCAAAGATATAATATTTGAGACAATTAGTGAATTGTGTTGCATTTAATAGCAAAAGAAAACAAAAATAAAATATAACCTAAATGTCCATCTTTGGGCCTTAAGTAAATTATGAACTATTTATGCAATGATAATACTAAGTAATCAATAAAAATGAGGAGGCAAACTTACAAGTACTCACAGGGAAAGAATAACATCACATGACATCACATTAAGAGAAAAGAGAAGGTTATAAAATAGAAGGTATACTTCATTATCATTTAAAAATATAAACACACCTTCATGCAATATACACACACACACACATGCAGTATATGTTTATATGCACACACAAAAATGTCTGGAAGAATAGTCACCAAACAATTACTATCTTTGAAAGGCCGAATTACTAGGAAAATTTTACTTAAATATATCTAAATTTCAAATAAATTTTTCAAGGGGTATAAATTTTATTTTATTTTTAAAAGTACTAGTTATATTACCATTTTTTTAAAGGTAAAAATTTTGAAACCGCACCATGTTGAGATTCATTTAAACCAAGATGCAACTTTCTTAGAATTACAAAACAACTCTAGTAGGATGAAGAGACCACAGCAGGTAGAATTTATTAATTCAGTCTAGATACTTTTCTCTTTATACTCAGTTGAGATCACCTGTACTAAAGGAATCAAGGTTTGAAATTCAGGTGAAGAGACATAGGATAAATAATTTTAAATATGTGATAGAAGTTGAATGCTTAGCATTAGAAGTAAGGGAGCTTGGTTGTCAATAGTCTAAGTTCCACTTTTTAATTCAGTACAGTAAAGCCATAAAAGGGTAAAATTATGACCAATGTGATATTCTGCACTGCCTAACATGTAGTCACTAGCCACGTACAGCTATTTAAATTAAATTAATTAAAAATAACAAAATTTAAAATCTGGTTCCCCAGTGCTACTAGCCACATTTCAAGTGCTCATTAGCCACGTGTGGCTAGTGGTTACTATATGGAGCATACAGGTATGCAAAACTTTCCCATCATCCCATTTGGATGGTGCCGAGATGATGGCAGATCTGTTCTAGAACCAGGCACTCTGATTCTCAGTTCAGAGCATTTGTGGGACACCATGGTGGTGGTCTTAAGGCAGCAGGAGAGCTCTGAGGAAGGTAATTAGAAATTCCATAGTCACACTCCACCTGTTACAAAATACTACCTGAGGTAGCCCTACATTCAGAAATGGAGAAGGAAAACTCCTCTTCCTCTTACTATACCTTATATGGTCTACGTCAGAACCTAGAACACAGGTACTAGTAATATTACAGTTCAGCTATCTGAGGGGATAATCTATGGGTCAAACGATTTTCAAAATGATTTTAGAACATAATACGTTTAAGTTTAGTACTGACTATAACCTAGAATGCTCAGATATTTGGTTTCTTTAGGTATCAGCACGCTTCCTAGTGAAAACAAGTCAAAACAAAATTAAAAATTCTGCATTGTTACTTCTTAAGTATTCATTACTAGCATCAAACCTATTGTTATTTTCTGAATAAAATAACACCAACTATTCTACTTAATTTTATTTCTTTATTTTTGCTACTTCAAGAAACAAGGCTACCAAAACTAAACCAAGGCTAGCAAACCCCAGTGAAGCTGACATGCAAAAAACTGCTAGAAGAATAGACTCCAAAATGAACCTATTTCCAAAACCTGGCATTCCTTTTTAATTAGCTCATTAAAAATCATTCATATAGTTGGTAAATAGCAGATCCCTATTATGTATGAAGTCGTGGCAAAAGTCAAAAAGTCTTCCTCATTTCTACTGCTATTCAGTTTTTTGTTATTTTATGAGAATCTAAAGAAAAATTCCAGATATACATTTTATAAACAAAAGCCAGTGTACTTTTGGCATTGTGATCAGATCAGCATTAATGAAATAACTAAGGTATTACCAGAACTAACTACTAGCAGTATGAAGCAATTCTGTAACCAAAACCAAATAACTCTTGGTTAATTGTTTTGAAAATTGTCACAAATATTGTGGTTGAAAACTACAAATGCTGTAGTTAGAATCTTAATTCTACATAGAGACCTCATGAATAATAATAGCTTGTTCATGCATATTTGTCGTAAACATCGTAAGTCATATAAAATTCTTAATGTATGGCTAAATGAATAGACACATGTCCTGAAGCAAATTAATCAACAAAATAAAATCTATTGCTCTCAAGTAAAAATATAAAACATTTGACACAGATTCTTATCAGGAATGATGTGAAGAACAACACTGTGTAAAAGACTTAGGGGTTAGTTACAAAAAGACATAATTATTTAATTTCAACTATACACACCAAATAAATTCCAACTAAAGCATGCACACTTTTAAGAAAACCATGGAGTTTCTGGTTGTAAAATAAATGAAACAGAAACGCAAAATAAATGAAACATTAAGAAAAACACTAGGAAAAATTAAGGCCCTTAAAAATTGGCCAAATAACACAGGGACCAGTGGCAATATTAGCTTAGTGGTGAACAAATCACATGAATGTTCTTGAAGTGCTTATAAGAATAAACTGAAGGACTATAAAGACGTCTCCTAGTAAGAGGATTCAAGAAAGTCTTAAGTTAGATATACAGACGTAGAGGAAAGATCAGAAATTTGGATGATGCTTTCCTAATTTGAAAAATCAAGAAAAAATTTCATCACTCAAACTCACATTAGGAGACCTCACCTTTTTCTGGTATTATCTTAGAATATTTTTCATCCTTACTCTTTGCTTCTCCTTTCTTGGCAGAAGTGGCTTCATTTTTCTTTGTTTTTATGTCTCCTTTTATGTTGTAGTATTTTGTTGGATTTATTTGTTCTTTGATTTTTCCATGTAACTTATCTTTAGAATTAGTTGCTGGTGCTGGATGTGTATCTTCTTTCTTAATGGATTTCCGTATCATATGTCTATTGCTTGCCAAAATATCTTTTGGAGAATATTCATTTCCTGAACATTCATTCCCTTTGGATCCTTTACTTTTAACATGTTTCTCAGCTTTCTTTAAATGATTTTCTTTCATTTCTCGATCTCTTACCTCCTTCAAATCATTCCTACCATTATTGGAAATTCCTAATCCAATTTCTTTAGATCTGTCAGTACGTTCAAGATCTTGACAAGTAGATCCAGCCCTTGCATTCTGCTTGATAACTGATATCCTACCACCGCTCATGTGGTCTTTCAAAGAATCACCAGCATTATCGGTTTCTTGATATTTTGATAGAGTCTGTTGCCTACCATTAATATGTTTAAATATTCTTTCTTCATTCATTCCTTGATCTTGCTCTCGTGAAACTGAAGCATTATAACAACTTACTTGATTTGCTCGGTGCTCTAAATTGGATTGCGTTTTCTGACAATTAGGGTTTTTGGAAACTTCTGGTAACATGGCATTTTCTGGTTTAGACATCTCTCCAGCTTCTACTGCTGCAGAGCTTTCCTCTTCTGGGCGAAAGCCATTGATCATACTTGTTACCTGTTCAGCAACTGAGTCAGTTAAAGCATAGCTGACTTCCCCAACAGCAGTGGTCAAATCTTCTACGGCATTACTGATTGTGTCTACCAGAGAGGACACTGAAGGTAGATTCTGCTGAAAATTTTTGAAAAATGCCATTTTCTACTTCCTTGTTCCTAAAAAGTGCAATAACGGAATTTTCTCTTCTCAAAATATCAACCACTTTTGAATTTGAATTTAATATTTACCTAAATGTTGCTACTCATCAGCTCAATATTAGTATTTCACATTGTGCCTTTTACTCTTTCTGTAAATGCATTATGTACTTGGAAGAAATACGTTGAAGCAAAGACTCTTCCGGAAAAAAAAAAATCAAACCACTTGGTTTAAATGTAATGACACTTTTTCCCATTCCATAGCTACCATAACAGCAGCAAGACAATATTTTCCCCTCAAATACTACTGATTTTTTATTCTATACCTGCAAGAAGAAGTATAAAAATGATTTTTACTATGCACTTTTAATTTATTTATTAATAGTCTATGTAGGGGAACTATCTTACCTTACAAACAAACTATTAATATCACAAATTAAGAAAAACGTTAAGGGGAAAATATCTAAACAATTTTGCACAGAGGTTAGAATACGGGAGAGCAGAGGGTGAACATCTGAGTGGCTACTACATGCTAGGCATTGCGATTTACAAATTTTATCTTACTTGATCTTACAGTAACTCTAGGAGGTAAATATTATTATTCCTATTTAATAAGTAAAAGAAAAACAAGGCTCAGAAAAATTAAGAAGGTCCCCGAGACCTTTCCAATGGATCCCAAGGTCAAACTATTTTTATAATAATAGTAAGGGAATATTTAACTTTTTCACTTTCATTTGCTCACAAATGAACACTGGCATTTTCCAGAGGCTACATGACAGAACGAATGCAGAAGCAGATCTGAGAATCTGGTTGTGTCTTTCTTTTATGCCAGTCATTAAAGAGATTTGCAAAATACGTAAAACAATGTTATTCTTCTCATGAAACTATTTTTTTTGGTTTTAGAAAATATATGGTTTTTTAAAATTAAAAAATGTGATTTATATTAACAGGCTTACTGTTGGTTTTCAAAAAATAAATTGATAAACAATATTTTAAAATTTTAATTTCTAATATGGTACATATCAATAGCTATAACTCACATAAACAAAAGCTCTGTGGGGTCCCCAATCATTTTTAAGAGTGTAAGGGGTCATTAGACCAAAGAAAAACCACAAATGCTGAACCAGAGAATTACTGAAGGCTGCTAAAGCGATATCTTTAACCAGTTCATTCTACACAAAAGACCAAAAAGTGGGGCTGAAGTACAAGAAACATTAAACTTAATCAAATCAAAAACCACACAAAGTACTATCGTTTCCCAATGCAAAAGTCACAGATGTAATTCAACAATGAATAGATTTTTATAAACAATGAGGATATCACTTCTTAAGTTATCAGAAGTAAGAGAAAGACATCTCTCCAACACATGTACATAGACAAGAAAAGCAAGGAGTCTCTGCTCTTGTTCCTCAAAATAATTCTAAATTAACACCTAGCGTTTATAATTCTCAGCTTGCTCCTGCCAGCATTTACATAAGCCGGTCTTTGGAAGTAGCAAATAAAAAACTCTTATAATAATTTAACAAAATAACTCCAAGGAAAATTTCCACATAAGAGAAAGAACAGTATCACAGCCCTCATCTTTCCTAGTATCCAGTAATAATAAGTGATATAATGCCTACAGTACCAAGGGAGGGAGAGGAACACTCATTTTTATAACCAGACTATAGCTATACACTCAGTTACTAGCGGGGAAAAAACACCTTCTCCAAACAATGAAATTATCCATCAGGTGAGAATTCAACAGCAGGTAAAGAAGAAGGGTGAATACTTTCAAAAGCCTTCCAGGGACACTTAAAGAAAGGCCTCGAGAGAGACAACGGATTTAAGCTATATAAAGCAACAAGATACTTCCTTCCTAAAGCATATCTGCTTATACGACAGGCTCAAAAGCATGCCCTATATATGAAAAAGAAAAAGAAAAATGTCATTCTGTGACAGTATACAATACATCTTTATGCAATTTATTAGCAATTCATGGGCAACAGAAAGAAAATTGAACATAGTTTACTTAGATCTTTTACGCTCATAGAATAGTGGCTCAACTGTTAGTTTACAATGTCAAAACCATTTTTACTGTATATATTTAAAAAAATAATAGAATAGAACAGTACAGATAAAAAGAATAAGATAAGCAGTATGATACTTACAAATTTTATCTTGTGAATTCTTCCTTGTACTGTATCCTGAACCAAGATCTGGAAACCCGCCAACATTTTCAAAACAGAACTTCTTATTAATATAGAGAAAAAGGAGCAGCATCAAGATAATAAACACCCCAACAGCTGACAAAAATCCAACTGCCTCTGGAGATACTGGAGAAAAAAAAGTCACAGCTGTAAGCATTTATTCTTCTTTAAGCTACAAATAAGAAGGAAACCCAAATACATACGTTAGATTATTGCCTTATTTGAATTATATTTCTAAATCGGCATAGTTTACAACAGTTTCATTTACAAGAAAAACAAACTGCATACTTTAATGAGTTGTTCAATTCATTCAACAGTATTTATTCAAATCTTCTAAAAGTTTCCCTATAAACTAGATTGAAACAATCTTAAAAAAAAGAAGTCTACAAAATAAGATGGTTATACGTTTAGTCCATTGAAGAGTACTACAAAAACTTGAACACAAGAATTAGAAAAAATTATTTCCCATGCACAGGTATATTACTTAAACATATTTGTGAGAACATACATTGTTATTCTTACCTCTAAAAGCTTCAATGGCCCTTTTTCATTAAATAAACTCTGGCCGTCTTAACCTGGCATTCAAAGCTCCAGCCTCTTTTCGGTATTACACTCCAATCAAACGGTTCCACTCATTGTCTCAGAACCATCTGTATGCATTACTACACACCTTGTTTTTGTTCATCCTCATCCCCTTGCTTGGAATGACCAAGTCTCCTTTCTACCATATCCCACTCATTCACTAAACCAACAGACATTTTTGGTGCAGGAGCTATACACCAGGTATTATCATACACAGTTCCTGTCTTCCATAACAGTCTGGGGAAGGCATTTACAATGTGGTGTAATAAAGGCTATGACTGGGGAAGAACAGGATTTATGAGATTCATAGAAACAATCATAGCGCTGAAGGATCAAATAAGCTTTTCTGAAAGTTATGGCCTCTATGATTATATTTTAAGAATTAGTAAGAATTAGCTGAATTCACACTATTTCAGGCAGAAGAAAGCACATGTGCAAAGGTCTAGAGACAGATCGCCATATATTCCAGAAACTCAATGAAACTTTGTTATGATGAACCACCAGATTCTCAAGAGAATCTGATCTCAAGGGAATACATGAAATCATCTACGGAGATTTTGTAGAGTGAGAACAGAGAAAATCTTCTCAACTTCTCCAATCCTCAGCAATCTCTCTGTCCTGTCAATGTTTGCATTATTTGTCACTATGTCAGTCATTTGGAGTTAAACAGGAACTACATTTTTGTATCCCCGGTGTCTTACATATAATACTCAAGTACTAGTTGAGAATGAATCCTAAACCGCAAATATCCTCTACAATCTACAACCTACTCTTTCTTCCTCCACCTCAAGAAGCAACTAAAATATCTCCTCCAAGATTTTTTCTTTAATCCGAAGAGCCATGGCAATCAGCATCTAATTCACTTGTGTAAAATTAAGTCACCAACCAGCCAAAGATGAGAGCTTTAATCTCCCACCTTTTCATTACTTGTGAAAGCCAGGCATCCCATGTGTAGAAGTGATGACATAATAGTCTATTCAAAGCTGGGTCAACAGTATCGTGGAAGAGGATGGAGCAGAGAGTGATACTGCAAGGGAGGGGCAATGAGAGTGAGGCGGGAGGTGGCAGGAATGGTTGAAGTGCTATCTGGCTATCAGGCTGGTCCTGAGGAACAGATCCTGCTACTCAAACCAGGAAGTTACACCCAGACATCAGCCCTGCCTGTCTCATTCTCAGGATGGAGAATAGTCAGGAAAGAGAACGATATTTTAATAAAAGAATCTAAGACGTATGACATAAAAACAGTGCTGTGAATCAAGCCTGAAGGATGAGTTAAAAATGAAAACAGAAGAATTATGATCAGCATTTCTAATAGCTAGGAAAGGCAGAAGCAGGACAGAATCTGGTATGAAGAGACAAAATGCTCAATAGACTTATATTCAGTATTTCACTCTAAATAGCAAATATGTATAGGAGCTCCCCTTTTAGCCCAGGCCCAAAACACACTTGGCAACTTGATGTCTTAAGTGAACACGCGGGATTAGATAATAAGCAGTCTGAAAATTTCCCATCTCTTAGAAGACTACATGAGAGAGAAGATATCGCTCACCTCACTTAAGAAAGGTAGTTATTGCTAATAAAATAGCAACAAACAGATATGGCCAAATTATGTGCTATTCACTGTTTTACATACTTGATATATATTAACTCCTTTAAGCTTCACAATTATCCTATTATCACCTCCATTATAAAGTGAGATATGGAGATATTAAACTATGTGCCCAGCTAGCAAGCAGAAGATCAGGATTCAGACCCTGTCTGACTCCATCTGTGTTTTTAACTAGTGCTCACACTGCTTTTCCTGTTTTCCTTCTCTCCTTCTCTTCTTGCCTCTTCCTATACCTTGCCTCAATCTTTATTTCTGTGTTCCTCTTTCATCTTCTTCCTTCCCATTTTAAAATTTAAGCCAGGGGAAAGGACAACTATAGGGCCAGCCCGGGGGCACAGCAGTTAAGTTCGCATGGTCTGCTTCAGCGGCCCAGGGTTTGCCGGTTTTGATCCCGGGTGCGGACCTATGCACCACTTGTCAAGCAATACTGTGGCAGGCATACCACCTATAAAGTAGAGGAAGATGGGCACAGATGTTAGCTCAGGGCCAGTCTTCCTCAAAAAAAAAAAGAACAACTATATAAATAAGTATAATACAGTAAGTAGTATAATAGACATACGACTATAAAGTATTACTGGAACACAAAAGAGAAATACTATCTGGGGAAGTTACAAACACTTCAGAAAGGAGATGACACTTGAGGGTATGTAAGATTAATAGAAACTGTTAAACAGTAAAAGGGCAGATGAAAGAGCATGGTCTAAGACACAGAAACAATGTGCACGGCATTCTAGAAGCACTAACTGGCAACAGTCGTGGCTGTCTTATTTACTTCTGTATCCTCAAAGCAGCCATCACAATGCCATGTAGTTGACATAATATAAACCTTTGTAAATGAATGAATGAATGAATGAGTGTTCAGGAAAGATCAAGAACATACCAGAGGAGCTGTGACTGGAGATGAAAGCAAGGTCCAAACCATCAAAGAACCTTCAAAACCATCCTAAAGATTTTGTACGTGTCGAACCATATTGCTACAAACAATGAGAAAACTGGAATGTAGAAGGGAGTAAATGGTGACAAACTACGAGGAGCTCTTAAACTAGGCAGCAGCAGTGGTGGCAGAGAAGAGGAGTGAATTTGTTCAAGGAAAATTGCTAACAGATTAGATCCTCATCAACAGGATGAAGATAAAGAGAAGCTGAAGATAATTCTCACGTTTCCAGCTTGAGTGAATGGGTAAATAGTAACGTCATTAACCAAAATGGAAAAATATGAGGAAAGGCATATGGTTTAGGGTATGGGGGCTAAGAGAGAAGTAGAAGGAGAGAGATAATGAGTTTAGTTTTTGTGTTCTTACATTAGGACAGTCAGCAGACATGTCAGTGTGGATGCCTCGTAAAGAGAGGGAAGTGTTAGTGTGGTGCTCTGATGAAGGTCAGGTCAGCTATAAAAGATTTGGGAGTTTTTCCTTTTGCTTATCCTATTCCATGTGAAAGACTTCACTGACAATACAAACCAAACTGGCAAATCTGGTAAATCTCCTACCTTTACAAATTCTTAGATAAATATACACTGTGAATTTAGATAAATTTTTTAAAAAGATCTTCCGCCACCAGGAAAAGGTGAAGGATGCCTGATGTAAATATACTACTCATACAACTCCCTTTTATCCATTGCCTGACTAAATGTCCACTTTCTACATTCACTGAAAATACTTTATGTATTTAAAATTTTAAAATGGTAATATGGTTGAAAGCAAGAAATAAATACCATTATTTTCTAATATAAAATATTTAAAAGGTTCAGACTTCTATGTTTCGTCCTTATCTCAGAATTCAAATGACATATATTATTTGAAATGATGTGATAACTAGAAGTTGGCCAGTCAGAGTTCTAAGTACAAAAACATTTGCTCAATCTCACCTATGCATAAAACTGCAATAGAAAAATCCACTGAAATTAACCTAAAGACATAAATGTCATACACCGCCAAAAAATTAAATTACACTAACTCAGATCTCACTAACACAAAATATATTTTCATTGAGTATAAGACGAAATTTACTCCTAAAATCTTATTTACACTATGAATCTGCTTATAAAACCATTCTGCATACATATGTCTTAGGTTATGGTTAATTTATCTATACATAAACCTACTCTTTTCCAACATTCTAGATCATCCACTGTAGCCAAGTAAATGCTATTTAAAAATGCATATTACCTCTTAAGGAGAACTTTCAAAATCTCTATTTAATAGCACACAGTTAATTAAATTTAGGTTAACATTATACATTTGAAGAATTAAATTTGCTGAATCAAATTTGAGTTAGTCAATAACTCAAAATTCACTAATGCACTATTTTCCCATAATGCAAATTTGTAAAATTTTAATACGGTAAACAATAAAACCAAGACCAACTAATAACAAAATTAACAATATCAACACTTAACGAGCCCCTATAATTTGCTAGGGGCTGTTTTAAATGCACTACAAGCATTATCTAACGAATCCTTACTACAACCCAGGTTCACAGATATGAGTGTTGAGGCTGAGAAAGAGCACGTAGAATCCTCAAGATCTTAAAATTATTATTGAGTGACAGAATCTTGATTTGAATAAAGGCACACTGACTCCTGCACTCAAAATATTAAACACTCATCTCCATTGCTTCCTATTTGCCAGGCACTGTTGTAATCTGTAATCTCTTTCATTTTAAAATTCAATGCTCAAAACAACTTTAGGATAGGTAAGAACTACACAGTATCTTAGTCTTTAGATTAGTAAACTGAGGCCCAGAGAGTAATTAACTTGTCCAAGGTCATAAATCTAGGAAATGGTAGAACCTGGATTTGAACCCAGACATTCTGACTCCAGAGCCCATGGTCTTAAACACCAATCAACACTGCTTCCTTATATGCCAATCTGCAATATAAAAAATAAGGA